CCCTCTTCAAATCCATTTTAAAAAATAAAAAAAACCGTTAATCTGAAATTGCACCTAGTGACGATCTGTTATCCAAACTATGAAGCAACAGACCTCTAGATTACTTCAATTTCTAATTCAAATCAACAAACAAAACCCTAGAGTTCATCAACAGCTCAACCAAAAAAGTTAGATCTTTCTAAATTCAGGCAAACGAAGCAATCTTTTGACAATTACACAATTCGTAAATAAAGGGAGGAAGGAATTTAATTACCGGCACAAGTTTTCTCTTTCATGAGCTTATAGATGAGAACTGAGATTCCAATGGAATGAACAGCCTCAGCGGCAACGAAGAGGTTATCGTGATCGTGAACGATGGCACGTAGGAGAACAAGCGCCGCCATGCCGGTGACGACCGCCAGAAAAGCCTTTACCTTTGGCGGTTGCCGGCGGACCCATGTCGACACGGCGTGGATCGGCCTCCGTGTCGTCCTCATGCTGCTTGTTTTGTTTTTCTCGATTTGAGGATGGATATGCCTAAAATTCGATAATGAAATTAAACTTTATGAATGAAATATACGAGGAGGTGAATATTGGTGAAAATACAATATGTTGCGAAAGAATTCATTAATTAGGAGGAGACGATCTTCTCGGACACTAACCTGTGTAATGTACTAGTATACCTTGTTCGGGGCTTCGGAAGAATAAAAATTAGGAGGGGATTTGAATTGACTTATTTTAAGTGTTTATTGGCTTTTAATTACTTTTTTAGTTTTTGTAGTGTTTCGTAATGATAAAAAGTACTTAGAAATACTTATATTTAGGCATGAAAGGTACAAAAATTAGTCAAAAGCCAAAAGTTGGATATTACTAACTTATGGTTTTTGACTTTACACTCTGTTTGGATCATTGTTAAACATCGTTTTATAATGTATAGTTTGGATAGAGTATATAATTTGCCATTGTTTAATATTATTTTTGTTGTTTGGTGTGATTGTATTGTACTATATTGTCACCGATAAATTTATTTAAATATTTCATTTATTTTAAATGTTAAATTTATCTAGAATTATTCTAAAAAATAATTTATGTAAAAAAAATTCTACTAATTTATCACTAATTATGTAGCTTGAAAACAATAGAAAAAACTGAAGAAAAAGGTTAACTATTATTAGCAACAAAAGAAAAAAATATATAATGATGGAAAAAGACAAGAAAATGAAAGGAGATCTGGACGAAAAAAATGGCACGAACCAATTCCGGAAAAGATGGACGAAGAGAAAGTTGGTTAATAGGTTGGAGATTTGAAGTTAATTTTTTTTTAAAAAAAAAAAAGAAGAAGAAGAAGAAGAAAATAAAGGGTAAAGTGGTATAATGGAGTAAAAAGTAAAGGCATAACTGGAAAGAAAAATAGGAAACAATCCCACCACATCAAATCGATTGTTTCATATAATGAGATTTTTTGTTGTTCCAGAACAATAAATTTAACAGTACAATACAATCAATTTTAAATAAACAATCAAAACAAATATTGTTTTAGAATACAGTACAATACAATAAATAACAACCATCCAAACAAGTTGTTAGCTATAAGCTATTTTTTAAAAGCCAATCCAAACACCCTCTAGGCTATGGGGAAGTAAAGAAAAAATATAGGCCAACTGAACAATAGCATGCATCACAAAAGGGGGGAAAGACACAATGGCATGTGGTGAAATTTTTATTGTGGTTTCTTGGTTATTGAACTACTAGTTAGGGATAACTCGTGCATAGCACGAATTCAATAACATTATGTTGTCGTTTGATATGATGTATTAGAGAGTAGTACATATTTTAGCTTTAGTATTATAATCCATTGTTTGATAGTAATTTTTCGATTTATGTATAACCAATATTTGTATTAGTTTACACCCTATTCAATACAATTTTTATACCTAACAACCATTGGATTAGCAATATCATAATTTTTCAGACATGAATAATCATGATATTTCACCAACATAGTTCACTGAAATTATAGGTAGCTCATAATTATATTTGTATCAAGTCATTGCATAGAACTGAGTCTAAGACTTGTGGCGCAACAAAGTTAATCATAAACCTATTGACTGAAACATATACATCAATAATAACAAACTTCATAATACAAATATTTTAAAATATTAATCACATAGTTTGAGAATTATATTTGAGATGATAAAACAGAAACATGTTACTTCCTCTTAATTTTTGCCAATATTAAAATCTTCTGTTTTAGTGGATATGCACTTCCAATTTTGACCAGGCTTGGCTTAAAATGTACATGAAAACTGACAATTACACTATGATTGAATACTTAAAGAATGATAATTGGCGGAATATGGTAATACAATAGATCAACAGAAAATTCGAAATATGTATCTTAAAATGCATAAAACGTGTATAGGCTAATTATTCGAATTATCGACTCAACAAAATATAGAAAGAAGGAAAAAAAAATTCATCATGAAGTTATGAATAAAACACACATGTCCAGATTATGGCATATATAACAATTATGTGATATATAAAGGTGGAAATATAATATACCAAACATGATTCTGAAATAAGAGAATGGGTGAAAAAAAGTTTGCAAAAGACTTTGTAACTAACTAGAGGAATGCAGTCATCGTCGATGTTAGAGTTTGATCCAAACTCTCCTTTTGTAAGCTATTTCTACATCACCAAATAGCAGAGATTGCATAGAGATGAAACGGTTAACATCTCTCAAAACACGCCGACTTTCTCTCTCTACTCTCACTCATGCCCTCGGCACATGTTAGCTAAACATAAACTGGTGTGTCTAGGGGCGCGAGGACGAGGAAGACCAAAAAAAGTACCCATAGTTTCATTTGGGAGCTCAATTGGAGCTCGAAATCAAGCTGACGGAACTCCTAAGGCAACAACAATGGCTTCCCCTGTGCAAATGGCTGAAGAGATTAGATCTGTGAAAATAGGATATACATCAAACCCTAGTGGGATTTCAAAGAAGCTGACCATAACTGAACCTCTGAAGAATACTATAAAGGAAATAACTGAGAGAAATACATAATCGAAGGCAGTGAAAATTAATGAAACAGTGACTTTAGAGTAGAAATCAACTTAACAAACAGCAGAGGCAGCAAAGTCGGTGGGTGCATGGACAAATATGTTCAAAAGAAATAGATCTGCAATAAATGGTATGACACTATCCTACATCCCACCACAAATTGTAAATGACCAAACCGTGGTGCAATTAGAAGCAGAAGAAGTCAAACCAGAGGAGAAAAAATGGAAGTGTGCTTTAATTGCCTACATCATAGGAGAGACACCAAGATATAATGCCATGAGCAGGTATATTAGTCAAAATTGGTTGAATATAGAAACACCAGATGTCTATTTGCATGTAGAGGGGTATTATATGATTCGATTCAACTCAATTACTGATATGCACATTGTTCCTTACGCTGGACCATACACCATCAGTATCCGTCCTATAATTTTGAAGCCTTGGACAATAGATTTTGATTTCAATAAAGAATTTACCACTGAAATCCCCTTATGGGTCAAATTCCCTAATCTTCCAATGAGTTGTTGGAGTATCAAATCCTTAAGTAGGATAGCAAGTGCTTTAGGAACCCCTTTGTTTGCAGATGAGTGTATCACAAAGTAAGCAAAGATATCCTTTGCAATAATGTTGGTGGAAGTAAACATCAGTCATCCACTTCCCTCTGAAGTTACAGTGGTCGATCCAAAAGGAAGACATTTTTAACAAGTTGTGACCTATGATTGGAAGTCTGAGTACTGTGGAATATGTCAATTAGTAGGTTATATTTGTCGTGAAAAGGATAAAAGGGATTTGCAACGGATCCCTCAACCCAAAAGAAAGAGGAATACTAAAGTTGTTACACAAGAATGGATGTATAAAGGACCTGTGCAAACACTTTCAACAGGTGGTGATCAAGCATAATCATTTGGTGAGGGCAAGCAACAGGGCCAACAACAGAAAAGTACTCCTCCTGTTAATATGGAAGAGAGACCAGAAAAGAGCAGAGGGAAAGCTTTGGAAGTAAGTCCAGAGTTCAATCTACAAAATTTTCCCATCAAATGCTTTGTTCCAACCAAGAATGGGTTTAATGTGCTACATGGAAGAAGCAGTGAAGTCCAAGGCCTACCCCTGGATAGAGGAAGGGGTTCCAAAACTATCTAATGAATTGGATATTTTGGAATGTTAGAGGAATGAATAAGAGGTATAAACAGAAGGAATTGGGGAATTACTTGAAAAACAAAAAAATAAGACTAGCAGGGCTTATAGAAACAAGAATAAAAGAGCACAATTCCATGAAGATTAGCAAAAAAATAGTTCCTAACTGGGAGATGTTTACTAACTACCAAACTGTAGCAAATGGAAGATTGTGGTTGGTCTGGGACCCACAGTGGTGTAAAATTAATCTGTTGAAAGTTGAAGCCCAAATTATATACTATGAGGTCATAAGCAAAGTAAGGGATCTGAATTGTTGCCTCACCATAGTATATGGCTTCAATACTATAGAGCACAGGAAAGCACTATGGGATAACTTGAGAGGAGCAGCAGTAGGTATCAACAAACCTTGGCTTGTGGTGGGAGACTTTAATGCAGTTATGTGCCAGAATGATCGACTATTTGGTAATCCAATTACATATACTGAAATTAAAGAGTATTTTGAATGCATGCATGAATTGCTCCTAACAGAAATACAATGTAGAGGAGACTACTATACCTGGTCCAATAAACAGCTAGGATCAGACAAAATTTATAGTAGATTGGATAGGGCTTTTGGAAATCATGAATGATGATGGCATGAGGGCACCTGATAATGGAGTATAATGTACCTTTCATATCAGATCATGCCTCTATGCTACTGACATTAGCTTCTTCTAGAAGTAATATCAAGGTACCTTTCAAATTTTTTAATGTGCGAGCCAATCATGAGGAATTTCTTAAGATAGTAGAGGAGATCTGGCAGCAGTCACATTCCACAGTCAAGATGAAGAACATTTGGGTGAAGCTGAAGTATCTTAGACCAGTTCTAAAGAGGCTAAATCATGAGGAGTGTAAGTTCATTAATCAGAAAATAGAAAAGGCCGGGCAAGAGCTAGTGATCACTCAAGAGAACATACACATGAAGGGTAATACTAAATTATTGGTAAAAGAAAGAGAGTTAATACAAAACTTAGAGAAATGGTCCATGGTTGAAGAAAGTGCTTTGCAGCAGAAGTCCAAGGCTAATTGGATTAAGCTAAGGGATTCCAATACCAAATTTTTTTCATCCCTGATCAAGGAGAGGACTCAAAGAAAGCAGATAATAGAACTTACATCACTCAACAACAAAAAGCTATCTGAGCCAAAGGAAATCAAAGAGGAAATAGTAAATTTTTACAAAGTCTTGATGGGATCTGCATCTCATACATTACCAGTAGTCAACAAGATCACTATGAGGAAAGGACCAACCATCTTACATCAGCAAAGAATAAGATTATGCGCAGAGGTAACTGAACAGGAGATCTATGAATGCTTATCCTCAATAGGAAATGATAAATCACCAGGTGTGGATGGATACTGTCACAACTTCTTTTTACTACCCCCGGAAGGAGAATAAGAGAGTTTTTTCCAATTTAAGTGACAATTGAAATGGAATTATTTTTAAAATTCAGAGTCGCTGATAACTAGGGATTTTGACGTGTTTCATGCTCTTTCTTGCTTACGCTTTGATTATAAATTCTTACAACATAGTCCCAAAAGGCTCATAAGTTATGCTTGATTGCAGGTTTGATCAACAAAGTGACGAGACATCAAAGATCGGCTCAAAAGGAGTAAAACCTGCCCAAGTACCAAAGACAAGACAACTCAGGATAAACATGCCAAGTGCAGCCGCACTACACTTTGTGCGGTCCGCACTAGGGAGATTCAGAGAGCTGGATTTGAAGGGATCAAAGCAGTGCGGCCGCAGTACATATTGTGTGGTCTGCACTGAAGACACCGCAGCCGCACTACCATTTTATGCGGTCCGCGGAAGCAAACTTCAGAGAGATGTCAAGTGCCAAGGTTCAAGCCTATGCGGTCCGCGGTCGTGTTTGTACGGACCGCAATAGACTCCTCCGCGGCCGCATTCCATTCTGTGCGATCCGTGGAACCTGGGTTCAGAGAGTTGATTTTTCAGAGTCAAGAGCATAGTGCGGCCGCACACCATTTCGTGTGGTCCGCACTGACCCCGCAGGGGCATTTTTGTCCAGTTTTTCCAGCTTAGTATAAATAGAACCTTTTTCCATTTTTAGGGTATCAGCTATTTTATGAACTGAGTTGCGCTTGTGAGAAAACCATCTGTAGCCATTTTGGGCATTTTAACTTAGTTTTAACGATAGAATCTCTGTATTTACTTTAGTGTTTAATTAATATGTCTTTATCTTCATCTATTTCTCTATTTTTCTCTTCAAGCATGAGTAACTAAACCCATTAGCTAGGGTTGTGGCGCAACTTTAGTGTGGGTAATTGATGAGTGTTGTGATTTAAGGCTAGATTGGCTATGTGTGTTTGTTATTTGGATCAATTTTATGGTTTAATTTATGAATTAGTGGTTGCAAATACTAGTTTGTGCTAAGTTGACTTGGGTTATTCTTGAGAAAGAGAGCCTAAGTCTCCAAAATTGACCTAACAAGGAATTGGGATGGACTCAAGAGATTTAATAGTCCCAATTAAAGGGTTAAACCTCGAAAAAGTAATTACCTGACTTGAACCCTAGTTGCCAAGCAAATTTGCCTACCCAATTGGTCTTGAGAAAGTCAATTGGAAATCACTCTCTCTACCAAGAGGTGTGAGAGTGGGTAAAATCATACAACGGTTATAGCATATTTTCCTAATCATGTCAATCGTGTCGTAGAAGCAATTTCCCTAATCACTACCGTAGTACCTTTTTATCCATTAGATACAAATTTTAGCAATTTTCGTTTAGCATAATCTAGTTGGTATTTGGGAAAGCATGCCATCTTCCGGTTGAGCTAGAGCACAAGGCCATGTGGGCTTTGAGAAAGTTGAATTTGGAATGGGATATTGCAGCTAATCTTCATGTTGAACAACTCAATGAACTTGATGAATTTAGATTCCATGCCTACTCCAGTTCGTCCTTGTATAAGGACAAGATGAAGTACCTTCATGAAAAATATGCTCGTGAAAAGGAGTTCAACGTAGGTGATTTAGTTCTCTTGTTCAACTCCCGGTTACGTCTATTTTCGGGAAAGCTCAAATCCAAATGGAGTGGACCGTTTGAAGTTGTGTTTGTGACCCCTTTTGGTGCTCTTGATTTGAGAAATAAAAATGGTGAAATCTTCAGAGTTAATGGGCACCGGGTCAAGCATTATCTTGGAAAAATTGATGACAGCTACGTGGTTGCACTTCTTCACTTCAAATGATTTGATGGTAACCTGCGTTGTGCCGCGACATTAAATTAGGTGCTTCTTGGGAGGGAACCCATGTCTTTTTCTTCTTGTCATTTTATTTGATTTTCTTTGTAGTATAGGATTGGTTTTTGGGCTAATTGGTTGTGAGATGTTGTAGGGTTATGTTGATGCAATGTAAGGCATGATGGACAAATGTGCAGGTCTCTGAAGTTTCCAGTGCGGCCGCAAAACATTCTGTGCATACTGCACTGGTGTGGGAAGATGAAGCTTCTCTGAATTTTTCCACCGCACCCGCACTACATTTGTGCGGTCCGCAGTGGACCTCTACGACTGCAGTCCGTTTTTGCGGACCGCAGAAGGATGCCTTCTCAAGCTTGTGCTAAACAAGGCAGTGCGGACCGCGGTCCATTTTGTGTGGTTCGCACTGGTAGGTGAGGCTGGGCCCCAGGGGCTTTTCTATAAATAGACCCTGAGGACCCCCTGTAACCTTTTTCGCAAATTTGAAACCTCTCAGAAATTAAACACTGTTCATTGTCTCACTTGCACATAATTACTTGTTGAAACTCATTTGATTCAATTTACCTCACAATATGGTACATTAATCTTCCTCTTTACTTGTTTAATTTTTTCACTTGCATTTAATTTTTATTTTTTCTTAATTTTTATTTCGTCCTTCTCCCGTAATGTCTTAATTTGTTAGGGTAGGGTAGTTAGATTTTTTATTTTTATCTACTTAGTTAGTGTACTGGACTGGGTAAACATGTAGGGACATAAATTAGGGATAAACTTGGACTTAAAAGCAAAATATGATGCCCTAACTCAGTGCCAAGTTTGGGCACGCAGTGAGAACCGCGGTCGCTTCAGTGCAGTCCTCGGTGCCCTAGTGCGGTCCGTGGTGCCCTAGTGCGGTCCGCAATACCACTTTGTGCGGACCGCACTGATGAACATCTGAAAGATAACTCTTGGGCAGTGCGGCCGCACTATACTTTGTGCGGTCCGCACTGGCCCAGTGCGGCCGCGGTACCATTTTGTGCGGGCCGCACTGCTCAGATTCAGAGGATGGGTAGTCTGAACCCCATCCCAGTGCGGACCGTAGTAGTTTTTGTGCAGACCGCACTGGCCCCTATGCGGCCACACTCCAGTTTGTGTGATCCGTACTGAGTAATCTCTGCAACATGTCTGCAACAATGGAAGTCTGTTCTGAAATTCTTTCTGCACCAAGTTTCTCACTGCTTCTATTGAGACTAACAATTTTATATGATTGTGTGTGCAGACCATGGTTAAACAAAGAGGCAAGGGATCAAAACAACCCGACAGAGGTGAATTTTCCTACGGTGGAAAACAGAAAATGGTCAAACTCACTCCCAAGCTAGGCAAAACATCAAGAACATGAGGAAGGCCATAAAAGCGGCTCAGTCCTAGAATACATCCCGTATCCGGAGAGGGCCAGACATAGAGACACCCCTCCCTCATCACTCACTGCCCAAGCACCAAGACATGTTTCTACTTAGTCGTCTGAGGGATCAGCAGCCGGTAGTGGTGAATACTCTACCTCCCCCATAGTTTCATTATCCGGGAGGGTGCAAGCGTAGGTGAGGAGGAGGTACAGGGGGATAAGGAGGTAGCTGAGGGTGGTGAGCCTCAGGTTGGAGGCATTGCCCGAACTAGAAAGCTCGATGTTTGGGAGGATAGGTTTGTGAGCCAGGTGGCATACCACAAGTTTAGGGAGTGGTGGCCAGTGAAAAAATTGATACTGGAGTGGAGTTTCATTGACAGAGATCTTTTACCCCACAACCTTGACGTGCATAGATAGTTCAGAACGAGAGTGGGTTGGGAGTACTTCTTAGATGACTGCATGGATGCCAATGAACACTTGGTTAAAGAGTTCTATTGTAATGTAGCCCACATCGTAAAGGGTTCCAAAATGACCAAGGTTCGGACCCTCAAGGTGTTGTTTGATGGGAAGTCGCTCAACAAATACCTGGGTTTCAATGAGGAAGATGAGTCTCTTTATATGGCAAAGCTGGAGATGGGCGAGGAGGTCCGTCCATGGTTAGCTCAGTACCTGGCAATCCCAGGTACTGTTCCGGAGTGGTTGACTGCTAGGGTCAAAATACTACGGAGGACCCTAAACTTTGAGGCGAGGGGCTAGGAGACATTTGTGTGCAGCCGGTTAGACCCTACTACCCATGACCAGACACTTCCTCTCCACCAGGCTATTTTGGTTGCTTCCATTATGGTGGGGTACCCCATCAACATAGGGAATGTGATGTCCCGGATCATTTCTATAGTGGGTATTGAGAGTGACCGGAACTATCCTTTCCCCAACACCCTTACTATGTACTTCCGGGACTTGCAGGTGGACAAGAGGCCATACAACATCAAGGTCAAGGCGACAACCCCATTCTCCTGGTATAGCGTGAAGGGGAATGACAACCCCAAGGATAAGAACTACAAAGCCCCTGCTTTTGCCCCAACTAGCCAGTCTGAAGAGCCAGTTGCGGTAGAAGCCCCCGCTGAGCCTGCCTTCACTTCTGGTGAGATGCCTCCCGGACCTTCCACATCTTCAGCCATTCTTCCTGGCCCTTCCACATCAGCAGGCCCAGAGATCCCATATTCCTAGGCTCATCCTATCACTGCCCACCGACTAGGTCAGATGCTTCAGAGTATCAACAACTGGATGTATACTGCTTCATCCAAGTTGTCCACCTTAACCACCACTATTGCAGCTCAGTGGGCACCTCAGCTAGCACAGGTCCCACAATCCATTGAGGATGCTTTGAAAGAGATTCTTGAGAACTAGAAGAAAATCCTCACTACCCAGGATGCATTGGCAAAGGCAGTTGATTCACATAGCAAGGCTCTTAAGGAGCTTGCTAAGGAGCATAAGAAGCTGTAAAAGACACGGGCCTCCAAGGAGTCCGTGAAGGAGCTACGGGCAGATGTTGACAAGTTGAAGGCAGACCAGCTGCCTTTAGACCTATTGTTTGAGGACCCAGTTCCAGCAGCTGAGCCACAGCCGGAGCAGTCACAGCGACCTCCGAAGAGGAAGAGGATGATTACTAGAGCCGATGATGCTATCATCCAGTTGGCGGACCTAGTAGAGACTTCCTCCAGTCAGCCATAGAGTGTACCAGATCCAGAGCCTGTCCAGGTCCAGGCCCAGGTCCCAGCAGCTGAGAAGTAGGACACGGGGAACCAGTCT